TTTTTGGCATTTTGGCTACGGAACCCTAAAAAGTAGTTGCATTTGAGCAGTAGTATCAATGCTTTGTTTGGTCACCCAGCAATTAATCAACCTGTATAATATTATTTTCAGAACGTAGATTTAATGTCATAGCAGACTTATCAACTCGGAAAGGGATCAACACCGTATCGCCTTTCGCGAGCTGTCATCGTCTTTCGCGCGCTGTCAACCGCTAGTTGAGGCGTTTACGTTACGGTGCGGAAAAGTGTGCATTGCAGTATGGAGTTTCATACAAAGAATACTGACCGCCTTGAGTACCGTCACTGCTTTACACGGGCGTAACGTGTAAAGCAGTGACGCTGCTTGTGTCCATTGATAATTTTCTTCATTAACAAGATAAAAAATAGATTCTTCCACTTCCGTATGAATTTCCCAACTGTTTTAGTAATCTACTGACCTCCCTTAATGGGACTTGTAATTAAATACTAATCAAACGGATACGTGGGTTTCGCCACGTACGAGTATAATGGACTTATCGTTACTTACATAATAGAATATTGATAACATTTTAGAGGAGTCTGATTCACAGCACGAAATACCTCCTAACTACTACTCCTGAAAAGTTTGTTAGTTTTCAGGAGTAGTAGTTAGGATATAAAAAAACTTTTCTGAAACTTGTGTAAGTGCCTAGTTTTTCCATTACCTTTTTCAGTCAAAATATGCTTTCTGTTAAGCTCAGAACAGACGGTGAAACGCAACTGCAACGAAACTGCAACTTTCTGATGATTCTGATGAATGAAACTGAAAGTTTCAAACTGGTCGCGTCATGTGTGGTCTCTCAACAGACGCTATGGCAGAAACTTAGATGAAACTCAAAAGTAACTAGCAGTTGCAGTTTCGTTGCAGTTGCGTTTCACTGTCTGTTCTGGGCCATAGAGATAATCAATCATCTACGTATATCATCATCATTATCATTTCAGCCACAGGATGATCATAGCCCTCCCCCGATGATTTCCCGATTAACCGGTTGGTAGCGGCCTGCATCCAGCGCCTTCCTGCTACCATTATGAGGTCGTGTGTCCACCTACCCATAAGGTAGGCCTACGCTGCGTCTTAATCATTTCTTCATACTATAGTAATTGAAAACTTCTTTCACTCAAACTTATTATTGCATTCAATTTTTAAACAGCTAAAATAAAAAAAATAGGCATCAGTTACTGCTGTTAAACTCGAGACTTATTCCTACGACCTATACCCACTATCATGTTTATTCATATATTCAGTTCCTCATAAGTACGCTAAGTATTGTGACGTCAGAGGCGCCAAGAACAATCGCACATTAGCGCTGCGCATGCGTCAGTGGATGTAAGGTGTCACCTTACGTACAGACCTGAGTTGGTGATAGCCATAGGTGAGACTACGTCATCACAAGCAAGATGGAGATAATTAACCATTTTCAACCGACTTCAAAAAAAGGAGGAGGTTCTCAATTCGACCCGTATGTGTTTTTTTTCTAAGTTTGTTACGCGATAACTCCGCCAATTATGAACCGATTTGAACAAATCTTTTTTCGGCGTATAGGTAATACCTCAAGGGTGGTCCCATTTAAATATAATAAAAAAAAACTACCCCCAAGGGTGGAAAATTGGGGATGAACTTTTTTATACGCAATATCTCCGCCGATTATGAACCAATTTGAACGATTATTTTTTTGTTGAATAGGTATTATTTGTGTTCACGCATTTGAAGTTGGTTTTTTTTAAAGTTATTCGAGCCACAATCAAAGAGCACATAAGAGACATATCATCTTATCAAATTAAGATGGCTAGCGTAGAGAAGAATTAGTGGTAGGTGACACTACGTCATCACCATTCTTAAGCCACCTTTAGACAGCACAATTGATAGAGTCACAGATATAATACTAGGATAAAGTTGTAAGTCGTGGCACAATTTAATGATTATATTTCAATAATTAATCTTAGTTGAGGTAGAGATGGTTTTAATGGAGAAACTGGAAAGTTACTCCCATTGTTCGTCGTGGCGTGATGTTAGCTTATAGCTTATAGCCACGAAGACCGTTCAGTTTACCCATGTCTATCAATCTAATAAATTAGCAAGCCGGTCTAACATCAACCTACTAAAAATATCTCGTGTACAGTAAACTTTTTTTAATGCACAACGAGGAATACCTTGGCCAGAATCTCAACTGATGGAATACGATGATCAGACCGAGGGTGGAAGCGAGCTTCACCCGGAATCCTAACAACAGAGGAACTGGCTATCATACCTCCAGCTCCAGAATACAACAATATTGCGATTAGGTAAGATGGTGGTAGCTAGCCAGGCGGACTTACCACCAAACAAATGAAACAAACTTTTGGCCCCACTGGCAATCGAACTAGGGTCTGAAGTCTGAAGTAGGTGGTCTTACCACTAAATCATAGATACGATTATCTTAAGCTAAAAACAAAGAGTGTCCTTACCGTACTGTCTTGTTTTTCGAAGGGTGTCGAGAACTGGATCTGGCTCATTTTGGACTCCTTCTCGTCGCCCATCGGCGACGGAGGCGAGGTCTCTCTGTAACAAAAAAGAAAATACATTAAAAATAATCTAACCAGTCAACACATACACATCCAGCGAACAGTACACAGTACTAGCTGTGCCCGTGACCCAAAATTTCACGCGAAAATGTTCCGAATCCGAATTTTTTTCCCGTTTTCCCAACATTTTTCATTGATACTCAGCTCCTATTGGTCGTGGCGTGATGTTATACACATAGCCTATTATAACCAAGAAGACCGTTCATATTACCCATGTGTCCTAGACGACCCNAAAGGGTGGTTTCATGCGAATTTGAAGAAAATATTTCTACCCCTAAGGGTGGAAAATTGGGGATGAACTTTTTTATACGCAATATTTTTAATTTTTAGTTTTTTTGTGTTCACGCATTTGAAGTCGGTTTTATTTTTTTAAAAAAGGTAATTATATTGTTATTCCGTAGTATTTTTCAGTCAAAATATGCTTTCTGATAGAGGTAATCAATCATCTACGTATCGTTCGTTTCAGCCACTGTCGTCAATGACGTCCACTGCTGGACAAAGGCCTCCCCCAAGGTTTTCCATAATGACGGTCCTGCGCTGCCCGCATCCAGGCTCTTCCCGCGACCTTTTTTACCAGATCGTCGGTCCACCTAGTAGGAGGCCTGCCCACGCTACGTCCTCCAGCCCTTGGTCGCCATCTACGTATATCATCATCATTATCATTTCAGCCACAGGATGTCTACTGCTGATCTTAGGCATTTCCCAATGATTTCCAGATGGGCCGGTTGGCAGCGGCCTGCATCCAGCGCCTTCCTACTACATTTGTGAGGTCGGTCCATCATGTGGATGAACGTCCTATTCTGCGTTCTGATAACTTTATAGTCATTTAAAACATCACAACCATCTTATTATTGCATTCAATTTTGAAGCAGCTACCTACCATTAATAAATAATTACCTTTTTAAAAAAATAAAACCGACTTCAAATGCGTGAACACAAAAAAAAATTAAAAATTAAAAATATTGCGTATAAAAAAGTTCATCCCCAATTTTCCACCTTTAGGGGTGAAATATTTTCTTCAAATTCGCATGAAACCACCCTTTTGATAATACCTATTCAACAAAAAAATAATCGTTCAAATTGATTTATAATCGGCGGATGGGACCACCCTTGAGGTATTACCTATACGCCGAAAAAAGATTTGTTCAAATCAGTTCATAATTGGCGGAGTTATCGCGTAACAAACATAGAAAAAAAAACATACGAGTCGAATTGAGAACCTCCTCCTTTTTTGAAGTCGGTTGAAAATAGGCATCAGTTACTGTTAAAATCGAGACTTATTCCTACGACCTATACCCACTATCATGTTTATTCATATATTCAGTTCCTCATAAGTACGCTAACTATTGTGACGTCAGAGGCGCCAAGAACAATCGCACATTAGCGCTGCGCATGCGTCAGTGGATGTAAGGTGTCGCCTTACGTAGAGACCTGAGTTGGTGATAGCCATGGGTGACTCTACGTCATCACGAGCAAGATGGAGATAATTAACCATTTTTTTTAGTGTCTCGGGTGTGGCATTTCTTAATACATTAGTTTTTAGTTAATTTAGTTTTTGATTCTGTTTAGTTTTGTGTTAATATTGTTTTCTTTTTTTTTTCTCTCTCTCTTTTTTGTGATCACCGTCCATAACGCCCCCTGTTGCGCGCCTTCTTGACTGGTAGCCTCAATATGGTCCCGGTCAAGAGGGTGCGCAATCCGCAATCTTCATCGTGTCGGTTCCCGCTGAAAACCAGCTTCTCGACATGGCGCTTGTTATGTCGCGAATATAGCTGAGCGGACGCCTCTTCAGCATAGCTTGTAGTTTAATGTTATATGTACTGTATTTTTATTTTATTTTTCTATGCTGAATAAAGTATTCTTATTCTTATTCTTATTCTTATTCTTATTTTTCGAGCCACAATCAAAGAGCACAGACATATCAGCTTATCAAATGAAGGTGGCTAGCGTAGATAAGAGTTAGTGGTAGGTGACACTACGTCATCACCATTCCTAAGCCACCTTAAGACAGCACAATTCATTGAGTCACAGATATAATACTAGGGTAAAGTTGTAAGTCGTGGCACAATTTAATGATAATATTTCAATAATAATAATCTTAGTTGATTTAGAGACGGTTTTAATCGAGAAACTCAAAAGTTACTCCCATTGTACTGTAAACTTTTTTTTTAATGCACAACGAGGAATATCTTGGCCAGAATCTCAACTGATGGAATGCGAGCTTCACCCGGAATCCTATCCTATCCTTGCGATTAGGTAAGATGGTGGTAGCTAGCCAGGCGGACTTACCACCAAACAAATGAAACATAAACTTTTGGCCCCACTGGGAGTCGATCCGGGACCTCTGGTTCTGAAATAGGTGGTCTTACCACTAAATCATAGAGGCGTTTATCTTAAACCAAACACAAAGGACGTCCTTACCGTACTGTCTTGTTTTTCGAAGGGTGTCGAGAACTGGATCTGGCTCATTTTGGACTCCTTCTCGTCGCCCATCGGCGACGGAGGCGAGGTCTCTCTGTAACAAAAAAGAAAATACATTAAAAATAATGTTATCAGTCAACACATACACATCCAGCGAACAGTACACAGTACTAGCTGTGCCCGCGACCCAAAATCTCGCGCGAAAATGTACCGAATCCGAATTTTTTTCCCGTTTTTCCAACATTTTTCATTGATACTCAGCTCCTATTGGTCGTGGCGTGATGTTATACACATAGCCTATTACGAGTATAACCAAAAAGACCGTTCATATTACCCATGTGTATCAATCTAATAAATTAGCAAGCCGGTCTAACATCTACCTGCTAAAAATATCTCGTGTCACGTGTTTGTTACTGAACTCTTCCGAAACATCTTGACTGATTTTTTTAAGTTTTATGTGTTTGGTAGGTCGTAGGCAATGTTACACCCTAGGTGATAAGGGTGTCCCTCTAGATTAATTAGCTCAGACAGGATCAGCTACCTAGTAATATCTATACTAATATTATAAATGCGAAAGTAACTCTGTCTGTCTGTCTCGCTTTCACGCTTAAACCACTGAACCGATTTTGGTGAAATTTGGTATAGAGATAGTTTGAGTTTCGGGAAATGACATAGGATAGTTTTTATCCCGGTTATTGAAAGAGGGACGCGCGCGATAATGTTTTTCTGTGACAGACAAAACGATTTCAAGCGGGCGAAGCCGCGGGCGGAAAGCTAGTTACCTATAACTATTTTATAAAGCGTCTGAAGAGAGAAGCATAGCCTCAGTATAGTGTTTCATCATATAGCCGACATATATTTAGTCATATTTTGAACCTAACTGCTTCGACTCAAGATCCATCACTGTTCAATAACCAGTGTCACCCGGATGACCATAATGTAACACATTCTTCCGCGTAGCGCTTCCTCTAGTTACCATACGGCCATACGGCATGTCAGACTATTGATTTTTGTTGGAAAACCAACCTTATTGGCACTACATACGGCATCAGTGTTAAGCTAGATATGCCTCTGTACTTGTCATTAGTGGTTACATACGAATGGGTCTCTGATCGATAGGATGTAAACGTAACAGTTTATCTAATAATTGATTCTCTTCGCAGGTTGCCTGGAGAAGATCGCTAACAGCACTAAGGCCGGCTATAGTTCCAAAATACTGAACTGTCCTATCCATGACAGTGACAGTGGGGCGCCACCGTCAATACCGGATCACTGGTTCCGATTTTTGCCATGTTGGAAACCATATAGTTGAACGATGGTAGCGCCCCTCTGTCATTGAGTTTGGTGGGACAGTTCAGCGTGGGTCATCTATACACGCATTTTGAAATATGAGTAGGTACAGTCAGAGCCAAATTGTTCGTGACACCCAAATTAGCCAAAAAGTTCGCAATAAATCTTTGTTCCAATTCATTTGAATAAGATTGTGTAGTTAACTTTTTGGCTATTAGTTATTCGGTACAGATTATTAAGAAAAAAATACGAGTTTTCTTAATAATCTGTACCGAATAACTTAATATTCTTTTTATTTTCACCCTAATTTTGCTTTGACTTGAAGATTTTAAATTACTTACTGTATTGTCTATTTAATGTAAAAAATAAATCACAAGCATTTTAAATTGGCGCCTATCAAAACAAGTTAGTTAGATATATACCTAGTTCAAAAAATATTTACTACTTACTAGTCTGCTGATGGCACATCAAGCTTTAGCACTGTGCATCTTAAGTAGCTCGAATAAGTGCGACTTTGCAACAAAAAAATATAATCTGAAGTGCTTTAGTTTGTAATGTTTGTGTAACATAGTACATAACTTTTGTGTACATAATCCTATCCTACTTTATTAATACCTATTATAAATGCGAAAGTTTGGATGTCTGGATGTTTGTTACTCTTTCACGTAAAAACTACTGAACGGATTTTGTTGAAACCTTACAGTATTATTGTTTGTAACCTAGATTAACATATAGGCTATAATTTATGCTGATCTGTGACACTAAATTTCACGAGGGTGATATTATACACCTGTTTCAAATATTCAATTTTTATTATTTACAACTCAATCGCAACCAACCTACTTAACCGGTATTCATAGAACAATTTATAATCGGTCCGAATCGAATCGTCGAATCGATTGCTAATTAATGATGAAATATCAGACGTAATGAGTCTAGTCGTGCTGTCTCGCCGCACTGGCCAAGGTCAGAAAGAGACGGCTGTATTCAGTCGGTTCCTCCACTCGAGTGGTTTCGTCACGCGACCATGGGCGATATGTCAAAACGATGCGCCAGCGGAATTATGCATGCCTATGCTTTTGCTTTTGCTGAATTAAAAATAAGACGATAGGCTAAGGAATTCGCAACGTACAGATTTCTGCGATCAGCTGTGCATTGTTTATTGATGGTTTTCCTGCTTCTGTTAATTTTAATATGAGTGTGAATTGATTGGTATGCGTCATAAGTATAATTTAACCCACAAGTAGATGAATCACTTTCTAAGAAATTATAACCAAGTATCACACCGTTTACTTAACCCCTGAATAAGTAGAGCTTGTGCTGTTGCGACTAAATATAAACTATACTAAAATAGCGAAAAATATATTTGCTCCAAGCGAGATTGAATGTGCAAGTTTGCCGTTGTAGTCCATGAAGTCAGGTGGCCGTTAAGTAGACCTGCTATGAGAACTTAAACGAAACTGTGACGAAAAATACATAATTTTCATCTTTTATTTGATGGAATGGATACCCTTTATCATTTACATAATACGAGAATAGTCGAAGGCACATCAGACGTCCGATTTATGTCGCAAAATAGCACCTAACAAAATCACATACGGCCTTATTAATAAAAGTTACACCCTAGTTGAACCCTGGCTTAAATTGTCATTTAGTATGGAAATGTCATTTTAATCCAAGGTTCATTCTAGGTGTAACTTTTTATTAATAGGGGGGTTAAACCAAACTATTATTGTCTTAAACCAGGCTATAACAGGACTTTCGTGACGGAACATTGCTCCCATCTGTTTACGTTAAAACTTGGGGTTTTCCCCAGCAAGCGATACTGGTTTACTTTAGCGTCATCAAACTCGTTTAAAGGGTCGGATCCGTCCACAGTAGGGACTTTCCCAGATGTCAGCAAGATTATGCACAACCTATATCAAAGATATGTCTTTAATTTTAATTATGTTGTTTTTACGGTTTTATGACGTCAAATTTAGAAAGGATAAATCTATTTTATGACGGAAGCGGAAGTAAAAAAAATGTAATAGATATTACAAATTAGGACAGTACCATCATCGTCATTATAAGGTAATTTAGTCTCTACCTATTGCAAGAGAACGAGCCGTTCTAATTTTCTAGAGGCAAATAGAGAATATGGCACACACTCCCCATGCTGGCCAGATGGGCTGAAGAGGCCTGATTTTAGCATATATCTCCCTAAGTCGCTCCTAACGACATCCACAGGAAGAGTGATGGTGCTTCTATTCTACTCTTAGTTAAGACAGTAACAGTTAAAAATCACTAATAGGTATTCGTAATAATATACAGTTTTATGTGACTCGGTGACTTCACACATTCGCAGTTTAGACTCTAATTACTGCAGCCGGAAACCACATTTAAAGATCATCTGTGTTTCTGACTGTGTATTACATGACATATCACTTACGATGGGATTTTCCGTTTTAATGCAGTTTTCAGATCATGTTATTGTCATTTAATTGTATTATTCAAAATCTTAGCTAAGTCATCGCTACACTTCTTCTACTTGTCGTGTCGACAACAAACCTACACAGCGTCAGCCCAAAACTTCGCCACTAGAGTGGCGTTGTCAGTAGCCTTCATTAAATCTTCCAACGTGCAGTTATTTAATTTTGGGCACGCATGGAACGACATCATGTGTTTCGTCAACTGGGGAACAAAACCACACTTGCACTCGAAGTCGTTACGGTTATCGCTGTACTAATATTGTAGAGGTGAAAATATTGATTTTACGAAGTGATTCCTATTCGACAACATTTCTTTATAAGTCACACGATAAATTCTCTAGGAGATGGCGGAAAAGTAGTAAGTTGAGAATTCTCAAGACGTTAGAATTTTTTACAAAAAATACAGAATCGTGATTTTATTTCACAATCCCTTTAAAACTTAACAAGGGTAATCCCTTTGTCATATGTACCATCTACCATATTCTTATGTGAGGCCTTGAGCTTACCTGTGCGATGTGCCCTTAGTGCGATGTGCCCTCTACCTTGGCGTCAAAAACAGTGGAGTTTAGCAGTCGTTTGAATATGTAATCTTGTGGTAAGGTCATGGCCGAGCCAAGTAAGCATACACCAAGTACTTGCTTGGCACTTCTGTTGAGCTGGTTTGTCATAAAATTAAAGGTTCTGTCACTTAATCACATTGTTACGAAACGTGCGTGGAACGTGTATACAGCAGGTACTTGTTTGGTACTTCTGTTGCGCTGGCTTGTCACAAAACTAAAGGTTCTTTCACATTTCTATGAAACATGGAACGTCGCGAAAATTGTTTTGTACGTTGTTTTTCTTTCTCATAAAAGTGTAAATTTTGGGTACCTACGTATCACATGCCCCTCGTACATAGCATAATGTAAAGTGAGGTGAAATGAAAGTGAAATTGACCAAAAGTAGAAATAAAGAACATACATTACTTATAGTGTTGTTCGGTTGGGCTTAGACACCCCGCAAACCACCGACTTTTAGTCGGCTGATAGTTCGGTCGAGCAAAATAATCAGTATGAACATGTATGGAAGTGCGCACATTACACCGATTTGGTATCGGCCGATTCCTTATACAAACAAATTGGAAGTCCACCAAACTATTTTATTTTATTTTATCTATCGGCCAACTAAAACCAAACGCTTGTCTACGTGTGAGGAATTTTACTTATTTTATTTCATTCTCAGTGAAGCAAATAGGTTTAGTAAAATAGATAGCAATAAGCAATGTTTATCACAAAAATGTTGCATCTAGTTTATTGATTAATTTAGCATTTACAATACGTTTTATCAGTATGAA